CGTGTGGCGTGGCTGCGTTTCTCTTTCCCGTACTAGAGTGTGTGTTAAAGCGCTTCTTTTCCATAAGGCTGAGCCGCTTTCTCCCTCTGTGAAACGTCCCGGGCGCTGCTGACAGGCTTTCCCTGTGTTAAGTGTTCGATTGCCTTTGGGTTTCACCTACTAGAGACGCTCTGCAGGTTAGGCTGAAGAGGTGCAATGGGCCAATCCACACGATCCCTACATTCCACTGAGTAACAGTATCTCTTCATCTCATCCCACCTAGTTTGCTTCCACTCGTGAATGAATTAATTACGTGCAAAGCTGTTGGTGAAGATGTGAAGCTGTAGGAGTGAAACATCTTTTTAAAAAAGATGCTGTTAACATATTATTTCCGAATAAATGTGAAAATATCTTCCCATCTTACGGTTTTATGGCTCCCCTGCCAGCTTGGTTTAAAATCTTTTTGTTGTTAGTTTTCTTTTTAAACTTACTGTTTGGAGAACTCTGGGGGAGGGGAGAATTGCAAGCTTCTATAATCAAAGGAGTGGCAAACTTCCAAAATAAAGTTCTGAAAACCAAGTACAGTCATACTAACAAGTAGATCATTTTAACAGACATAAGAGAGGGGGAAAAAAAGCAACTCATGTACCCTTAATATAAAAGCCCAAAGCAAGAAAGTGTTACCAGTAAATGGAAAAACAGTATTTGGAATAAAACAAACCTTTTGTGGTTTGTAAGAATTAACCAACGTTTAAACGTGTACCAGAGATTGAGGATGTCATCGATAAAAGCCTGTAATTTAGTTAAGAACTGTAACCTGTCAGAGTGTGTGGTCTTTATATTTAGGCACTATTAAATAGAATTTGTGTGCTGAATTGATTTTATTTATGACTGTATATTGGAATACCTGTGGAAAAATAAAATTAAAGATTGTCTTTGTTTCTGTATCAGAGAATAGTCTGCTTGCTTTACAGCTCTGATTGAGTTCATACTGTTAGTATTTTGTTCAAAATTTCTCTTAACCAAACTATACAACTGTTCAGTGTTTTATGCTGCAGAAATGTTAGCGGATCATTGACTACTTAAAACTCTTGTTGTTACTGGCTATTTGTTATTTTAAACAGCTGAAGATTTTTACTGTAGTACATCTTTGGATAATGTCAACCTATGGACAATTCATTTTTATTTTCAAACAGTGAATTTATTGCAGAAGATGGTAATGAGAAGTTTTGGCAGTTCTTGGAAACTGTACGAGAATTAACAGTTTATAAGCACAGAGGTAAGTTGAACAGCATGCTAGTTTTAATATGTCATCTTGCACTGTATTTAACTTTTACACTTCAAGCTAACACATTAACTAGTTCAAGGCAGGTAAAGCCGAACTAACTCTTCCACTATTGCTTACTCTAGGGAGTTTTATTTCAGAGAGTTGTAGTACATTTTCCCCTGAGACCTCTACAGGTAGCGGAGTTCTAAAGGTAAAGATGGGATGGACTGACCTGCAGTTGCAATACCGAACAGAAGTGTAACGGTTAAGGATCCCTACCTTCTTATGTGACTCAGCAAGAGCTTATAGGATATTCAGACTTCATGTTTTGTGTAAGGTGGATATTTTTAGAGGAGAGATCACCACAGATAACTAAAATAAGAGTGCTGGCTAAAGGAAAAAATGAACAACCAAAAGAGTTTAATATTGTAGATGGCATAGAGACCATTTTCTAGCAATAGTACTGGTGTTTTAGAATAAAAACTTATCACTGTCAAAATAAGATTAAAAAAACCCTTGCATGATTAGACAGAAGAATATTAAATTGTTAGAAGTTTGGAGGGAAGAAAAAAGCATAAAATCTAGCAAAAAAAGCTTAAAAGCAAGGCACCCTGGAAGACAGCTTGGAGAGCGGTTTACTAGAAATGACCACGGTGTTGGAAAATTTGGAAACCTACCAGGCTTTACAACAGGTTGGTCAGTATTAGACCTGCTTGGTAGGTCAATAGATGAACAAGGTGGAAAAAAATCTTCAACATAAGGCTTTTTCATTTTACTTTTTACTTCAGAATAGTACTGCTCTTTAGGCATGAGTGTGAGGACCTAACACTACCACTAGAAGAGACTTCAGATAAATTGAATGTTACGTTAATGGTCAAAAGCTAACAAATTGTAGAAAGAACATGGGGGAAATGACAGTGTGGTGACAGAAATTGATCTTTGTTGTGTGAAAAATGCTATATATGGGAAGGACAACTTGAGAAACAACAGGCTTCAACTGTTGCGACTGGAAGAATGTAAGTCAAAAAGAAGTTGTGATGTCCAGGTGAATAGGTCAGCAAGTATGTTTTTTGAGTACTCAGCGGTACCCAAAGAAGCCAACAGATGAAAAAAATTACTAGGAAAGGAACAGGGACCCACATAGTAAACATTTTATGGCTTGATTCCACGATGTGCTTTTGTGCTGAGTAGAGCATGGTGTTCTGCCTTACTGTCTCCCTATATTTTCCTTGTCAATCCTGTAGAGCGGGTATAGTAGAAGCAGAAGATGTACAAAGAGCTGTGGTTATAGTTGTATATCAACTGGAAGGGTAAAAAAGAAAACAAACCCCCAAAATTACAGGGAGCTGATGAAAACTGAGGATGGTTTGGGGTCAGGAGTATAAACAAAACCAGAGAAAACTGCTGAGAACAGTAGACCCAGGTGGAAGATTTTTTTCTAAGCCATTCTGTGTGAGGGCAGGAGGACGTGGCAAATAGAAGTAGGTGCAGGATTTGACCTGTGGTCAGCTACTCTGGCAGTTTGTTGAGGCAAGTGCTGTTGACTAATTCTGTTCATGGTCTGTGCCAGTGACGTGGGTTACAGCCTCTACAAGGTTGTGAATGACAAAACTGGAGGGAGAAGCTGAGAAACTGGAGGATAGGGCTATCGTTAGAGAGGCCTCGGCGAACTGGCGAGAGAGGCCAACAGCAGCATTGAGCAGTTCAGCAGAGACACTGTATAGACTCCTGCAAATTTGGTTAGATACTGGGAAAAATATTTCTGCCGTGGGGTTACATAAACACTGGAACAGGCTGCTCCAGGAGACTGTGAAAACGTTCCTCTTGGAGATACTCAAAACTCAGCTGCATGAGGCTCTGAGCAACCTAATCTAGCATTGAAATTAGGTCTCCTTTAAGTAAAAGTTCGGATAAGGTGACCTCCAGAAGTCAATATTTACTTGAATTTTTTTTTTTTTTTGGTTTAGATGCAGCAGGTACTGCTTTTATACAAGATCCGTGTATTAGATTATGTGTCAGCATTTTTTGTCAGCCATCTCTTGTCTGTTTGCTTGGACCAACTTTCCAAGGAATTTAGAGCATCGGTGACATTTATTATTAGTAACACAGATGTCTGTTGAAATTAGCTGTTAACTACATAAATTACCTACTTCACCTGGATAAGCTGTATGTTTGAGAATAAATAATCTGCATGGCCTCTCTTGCTGATGAAGTATTAGGTGCTCGTAGTGGGGAACTTGGAGAATGTACTGAAATATTATTTTAAGCATATTAAGCAATTAATGTGTATATTATTATGGTCAGCAAACTTCTACATTTATCACATCTAAAGTCAATTCATAGTTGGGATAGTGTTATACAACCAAACCAATGCTCTTTATGAACAGGATGACAAGGAAGGATTCCACTTTAGAGGAAAAGAAAGTGGTTATTTAATGACAACATCACGTCAGTATTGAAGTCTACATGCTAAGTGTGAAATAGAAATATGAGCATTGGATGTATCCAGCAGCACTTAAAGAGAGTTTCAGTAGGGAAATATGTGTTAGGCATCTACAGTGAAATGGTCAGCTCGAGTGAAGAGTACTGGTACTGAAATACTGGAGTGGCACAGTTACCGAGAAGTGTCTCCTGGTGCACTTGTGAGGAGAAGTTGGTTCTCTAGGTGGTGTGGAATGGGTTGTGTCTCAGCTGTTGAATGTCAAGATGCACGGCAGGATATTCATGATGCACTAAGGCTGAAGTAGCAGGAACTGCTTGGGCAAATTAAAAGATCTGGCTTAAAAAGGATTGATTGGCGTGACTGGCTTTTCACTTCTGCTTGGATGATACCAAGAGCAGATAGGGTAGATAACTGGGATAGAAATAAAAGCATTGTTGTTTTTAAATAGAAACATTTTCATAGAAACTAAATAATTACTAGATTTGAAGCTGAAAAGCTGGATTTATAGGAGAAGTGGATGATAGATTTGTATCCCAACCTACTCTTGAGTATTTCAGAAGTCATGAAAGCTAAAAGGCAATATAAAAAAATCAAATGTAGTGACTTTTTTTTTTTAATTATACCTTGGATGGTTTCTAATCCATTGCATATCGGTACTTAAATTTAGAATAATCAAACCAACTTGTTTAAAATATTCGGCCTTAGCAAAATAGGTCTAGTAATGGTCTGTTTAGCTATGATATATGTAAACAATTTCATGGATTTGGTAGGAACAATGTACGTGGAATTTGGTAAAGCATTTAGTGTGGTGATGTATTATTTGGTTACTTTAACATTTTGTTTAATATGAACTCAAATCAACTTGGGCATCTCTGAGATTATATTTTATGAAAAACATCAAAAAGTTAATGATGGGATGCGCTGTATTAAATTAGAGTGACGCCTTCAGGTAGCATGGACAACAGGTGCATGCCTACTTCATATGTACCATACTCGCTGCTAGGCTTGTGAAAGATTTGGAAATGCAGATGATACTGTTTTGGGCTGCATGTATGTTATAAAAAAATCAAAGCTGCAAAACTTTCGTATTCAAAATAGCACAGTTACAAAACACTGAAGACTGCGTTTTAAATATGCTGCTGCTTTTATATCTCAAAAGGTTAATTTAGGAGCACAGAGTGAAGCCAGTTCCTTGCTGACTAATTATAATTTGAGTGTTTACTGTCATCCCAAGTGGTTCAGTTTATATATTGGATTTTCAGCAGCCTCTAAAATATATATTAAAAAGAAACAAAACAAACCAGAACACATAAACATATTAATAGGGAAACTATTTTCTCTGAAAGAAAAAATATAACAGCATATTGCATATAAACAACAATCATGCAAATTACTTGTTGTAATCTAGAAGAATACACATTATTCACAACTAAATTAGATAAGTGGTTTTTTTGTACATATCAACCTTAAAGATTCAGGAGGTATCAGGTCCACAAGCATGGCACTTCTATAATAACCATACAATAAAATAAAGTATTCCCTCTCTGCTGGCATCTTGGTTGCATGTTACAGGGCTTTGACTCCGCAGTGACTGCTTGAGCTGCTCTTGGCTGGGATCTCCTCGTTCCCTAGTTGATCTGTAGGTACAGATGTAGGCATCTGTGCAGCTGGAACAATTCCCATATTCCCATCCCTCAAAATAGTGATCCCAGCACCCTGTGCTCTTTCAACTATGTCCTTTATGTTTACTCTCCCTACCTCCTGTACCTCAGTGCTTTGAATTCTCCTGTGAGCCCCCAGCATATATCCAGATTAATTCTGTGCTGTATGTGCGTGGTACCCGAGGAACTGTCATACAGACCTGTCCTTTTGTGACTCTCCTAGTCACCTCCCTTTAATTATTTTAAATCTACCAGTGATGTGAGATACTGCTGCAGACTGTGGAGAGTAAATATCAGTGTTAAAATGTGAGTCAGCTTAGCTAGCTGGTCAGTTCATGGTGTAGTCAATCTAATGAATTTGGCTACAAGAGCTGAGAGAGCCATTTAGCTGACTAATTTAGGCATCTTTACAGTGAGCTAAATGGCTTTTCAGGTTTTTTTGGCTGCTAGGCTGTATCTTTCCTGGCTAGAACAGAAGTTTACAGCTACGTATCTCATACACAGGCGTTCAGATATCTAAAATCTGGAGCTATATCCTATTAATGTTGTCTCATTTATTTATTTGTAAATCAACTTTGTTAATGAATTTAGTGGTAATATGCTACCATGCAGCAGTTTGTGACCAGAAACATCTGTTTGTCTGTGGTCCGCTATAAAGAAATTTATTACACCTTTTACTCTTTGGCATAGAGTGCAATGTTAAAATGTGCCTGGAGGGCAAGCAGCTCTCAAGTTTCAAGGAGCAAACACTATGTGGAAGAAACTTTGCAAACCTGAAACCATCGTTCTGTATGTCATAAACTTTTTAAAAAGTGGGTTTGAATTAGGTGAATCGTGTAGCATTTGATGTGCATTAATTTATCTTACTGAAGTTTGAGGTCCAGTGCTAGTCTGAATGAAGCCAACAGTGTTACGTAAGTTGAAGTAGCAAGAGTGTGGATGCATGATTTGGTAAATGTAACGTGGTCAGTATGTTATACAATCACTTTTTGAGGCACATGACAAATTACCTTTTTTTTCTTCTTACTTTCCTTATTAAAATCATCATCTTAATCACCTTCTAGAGAAAAAATGTCAGCTGGTGTATATACAGCAGTGAAAGCACAGCTGGAATTTGTAAGCCAAGGAATCCAAAGTCTTATGGTAAAAATATTTTGTTGAGGTGATATCTTCAGAAGTGTATATTTAATAACTCTTCCGGTTTTTTAATAGGATCCTATTTGGGGCTGAGTGGAGAGGCAGAAATTTCAGATCGATTTTTTTTCTTGATGGAGAAAACTTGAAGAAAATTTGAAAATACAGTTATTGGAAAGACATTGCAGTCTGGAAGTATGTGCCACTTCCAGATTTTTCACATTCACTGCTTGGAACATGTGAAGCCAAATTTATCTCATTTTTCTGCAAGGACTATTTGGTAGATTTAGAAAACACAGAAGAGGTGGGGATTTCATCCCCTGAATTTAGTATTAGACAGTAATGATCACATACAATTTATGGGAAGGCAGCTTTCTGGAAATGTGGTTCATGCTCTCTTGTAAGCTTTAAGAACAAAATAAGGTTAGGGCTTTAAGAACAAAAGAGAGGATAGGAAGTGATTAGCTATGAAAATTGTATACAGGGCTGTGGGGAGCAGTTGATGGATATTTCCAAAACTATGACCTGTAGGGCTGTTGTGTGTGGCGTAACATTTTGCTGGCAGCTAGCCCGTGATGAGAGAATGGCGTTTTGATTGTTGCAATTGTAATTTGAGACAAGTACTTCTGAGATCTACTGCAGCTGAGGCAGGTAAAATCTGGCAGCTTAAATCATGTGAGGTGATTTTCACACTGTGTAAAAATTTGGTGCCACTTTAGACCCTCGGGAGTTTCCTACTGCCATGGTCATTCCACTTTCACAGCAAAAGCAACTTTAAAATATGATGTTGACCTGAGAACACAGTTAAATTCAAGCCAGATGGCTCGACTGATTCCTCCCTGCGCCTCACTTTCTCTTTGCTGCAGTTTTTCACCTTTATAGGATAACAGTTGAAATATACATGAAAATGATCTTGAATCAGTGCAGTTTCAAGGTAGTATCTATCAATGTAAGTGAAATACGTGCTGACTACATAGATTATTTGGAGGAGGGGCATAAATTGGCAATTCTGGATTGTATCACTCATGTTTCAGCTGTTCCTCCTGTGGAAGAGGAACCTCTAGAACAGGAAGGGTGCACAGAGCTTGGTATGGTCACAGCTTTGGTTCTAGAATTTGTGTGCTTTCAAGAATATCACACTGTAAAATGTGTGCAGCCCCACTGAAAATTTTTGTGAACATTATTCCTGTCCTAGTTTTGACTGGGGTTGAGTTAATTCCTAGTAGCTGTTGCAGTGCTGTGTTTTGGGTTTAATATGAGAACAGTGTTGATAACACAGGGATGTTTTAGTTGTTGCTGAGTAGCACTTATCTTAAGCCAAGGACTTTTCAGTTTCCAGTGCTTTGCCAGTGAGGAGGTGCTGGGAGGGAGCATGGCCAGGACAGGTGACCCAAACTAGCCAAAGGGATATTCCGTACCACAGGACATCATGCCCAGTATATGAACTGGGAGGAGCTGGCCAGGGAGGTGATTGCCGCTCAGGGACTGGCTAGATGTTGGTCATCATTATTATGATGATGAAATAATTAAACTGTTCTTTTTCGATCCACAAGTTTTACTTTTTTTCTGATTCTCTTTTCAGTTCCTCTGGGTTGGGGGCAAGGAGTGAGTGAGTGAGTGAGTGAGCCAGCGAGCGGCTGCCTAGTTGCTGGCTGGTGTTAGACCATGACAGTTTCTTAATCAGATATAGGTCTTTTTTCACAACTTGATAAAACAATATCACAACCTCTTTCTAATTAGGCTGCCTAACAGTCCAAGGACAGCATGAGAGTATTCGCTTGAATATGGTTCTAGAAGAAGAAATGAAGATTATTTCCAACTAACGTTCTTTATTATCACCTCTGTCATTCCCGGATACCATCTGTGTTCTTTTTTTGCTTGGAGTCCTAATTTCGCCCTTGAGAAGGCGAGATGTGCTGGGAGGGGTGAAGCCACTTCACATGTTGCATCCGTTCTCATACTCTTGTTTATCATGTATCTTTAGGGAAGAAATGGGATATGTAAGAGTAGCCCAAAGAATGTCACCTTCAAAAGGTTTTTCTTTATGTAAGTTGCGTGGTTGGAGTGTTTCAAGACTGAATGAGGGGAAATAATTTGTAAAATAGTGCTGACTGAAAGTAAGTTTCAAAATTTGCATTAAAAGGCTAGCCTAAACTTGACAAACAGAAATAAATAAATAAGCGAGATGTTTTGTGTGAGGTCTCCAGAGAGACATTATTGTCTTTAGTGGATTTTTATATTGTTGAAAATTATTTTTACGTTAACTAGTACTATTGTGCTCACTTTTGCTGTATTTTTGTTGCATTAGGCCTTTAGAATTGGTAGTGAGGGGAACAATTAGAGTGGACAACGTTCAAGACTTTTGAACTGCCAGGCAGCGCTAATACAGTATTTGCCAGTGAGGTAGCTCAGGTAGATACACCACATTTTGTATGGCTAAATACTAACAGTTTGTCTTTTTTTTTTTTCCTCTTCAACAGATTCAGAGCTTTCCTATTACAATTTAATCTTGAAGAAAGCAGGACAATTTTTATCCAATTTGCAAATCAATCTATTGAAGTTTGCACTTTCCATACGGGCATATTCTCCAACTGTGCAGATGTTTCAGCAGGTGACTATATAATCTCATATATTTGGTACATCATTTTATGTGGTATTTTGGCTGCAGAGTAAGGAATGTTCATTATCAGAGTTCAGTAAAATATATGCTGACATTATTTAGACTCAATCATGATCCGTTATAAAGAGGATGCCTGATAAGCTGCTTATATTGACAGGAACAAATATTCAAGTTTAATTATATAGATAGCATTATTTTCAGAAATTCCTTTTTGAAACTCAGATTATAGGGTGATTTTTTTTTTGTATTGCTTTAATTAATCATATGGGAATTCAGATATTCCCAGATTAAGAAATTTCCTGTAGCTTCAAGTAATTTATATTTGTTATATAGTGGGCTTCTTGCGTCTCTCATTATTTTAGTACTTGAAAATTTGAAAGAATAGTCAAATACCTGCTTTGTTAATGAAAAAGCGCGAGGACATAAATTCACTGTGCCTCTAGCCTAAAATTGCTACGCCTCATTTTAGCAGTGCCACCTTCAAGACAAAGTGAGAAATCCATGTTTCTGAAAGATAATAAGCTGTAATAAAGTTAAGGGGTTTTGCAAGTGTTCTCTGGAGCAATATCATCATCTCAGACACAAATCTCTTCATTTTTATCTTGCAGCTTGTGAATCCAGAGTCACTGACATGCAGTTATATGATTCCCACTTTACATGGGAATAGCTGAATGGAGTTTTCTTAGGGAAAAAATAAAAGGTGGGGGGAGGAGTGGGGTGGGAGGGATAGAGAAGCATAAATTGCCGTTAGTTATTTGGGATTTACTGGTTAGCAGTCAAATCTTTGTCCAATGACATGATTGCTGATAGGAACTAAAATTAAAAATATCTCAGGAACTGACTGTGATTTCAGGTTGTGGTGGAGATTTCTTAGCCCTGTCTCTACAGAACATAAATGGACTTGCATTTTCTGCAGTATGACTGCATTTAGTAGATTACATCTCACAAAGGTTATAAGGTTTTAATCTTCTAATATTTTCCATTGCTTTTTTCACATGTACCCAATTTTGAATAGTCTTAATTAGAAAAATAGCTCAATGGCAGCTGTTGAGTTATTTTAATCATGGGGATGTGAGTTTAAGTGCAATCAAAGCATTCTGTTTTGAGTATAATTGTTGAAATATTAGATTGCAGCTGATGAACCTCCACCAGAAGGCTGCAACGCGTTTGTGGTTATCCATGAGAAACACACCTGTAAGACTAATGAAATAAAAAAGCTGCTGAAGAAGGCTACTAAGAGGTAAATGTAATGATCTCTTTTAAGAGAAGAAATAGATTATTATAGAGGATAATTTATTATTGCATATATACTTGTAATATTTTGAAATTTTATGTTTACTTATTGATAAGGCCAAGCCTATATAAATCTCTGTTTACTGGATATGTAAAGACATACCCATTTAAAGTATATGTTATTTTAAAAGAGTTACTTGTGCTTTTGAAGTAATTTAAACACTGTTATGAGAAATCATCAATCATGCATCAAAGTAGAGTTTTAAAATAAAATCTTAGAGCTTTCCACTTTGAACCACGCGAGTAGTTTTGTATTTCTTCACTTTTTTTTGGTGTGGGATAGTCAAGTTTAAGTTATGGTGTTCTTTCCATACAAACTTAGATTTCATCCATCTGAAACAGTACTTCTGCTGACAGACCTTTCTTCGTAGTCAGTGCTGCTGCACTTGAGGTTTTCTGAATTTGTAAGGGCCTGGCACTGGAATGGAAGAGGAGTCTGCCTCAGCTGGCACAACTTTTTCTCACCTTGTGCTACTTTTTGCACCTGCCAAGCCTTTCTGCAGACTTTGTCCTGTGGAAACTGCCGTTAATGCAGAATGAATTTGGGCTGTGAAGTAAAATGCATAGAACCTATTAAAATGGCAAATAATGACAAAATAATGAAAGCAAAATGTTGAATCTCTATTAAGAATAATTTTAATTTTTTCAAGAACTATACATACCATCTTCTGGGGGTTTTGTGTTGTTTTTTTTCCGCCCCACAATGGTCGAGGTCACCATAATGTAATTAGTGTCCATACCCTCAACCACTTCATGGAGATATGTAGAGCTGAAATATATCTCATCAATGACCTGGACAAGGGGTTAGAGCGCACCCTCAGCAAGTTCGCTGATGATACGAAACTGGGAGGGGTGGCTGACACACAGGCAGGCTGTGCTGCCATCCAGCGAGATCTGGACAGGCTGGAGAGCTGGGCAAAGGGGAACCTCATGAAGTTCAATAAGGACAAGCATAGAGTCCTGCACCTGGGGAGGAGTAACACCAGGCACCAGGACAGATTAGGGGTCATCCTGCTGGAAAGCAGCCCCATGGAGAAAGACCTTGGAGTCCTAGTGGGCAATAAGTTGTCCATGGGACAGCAGTGTGCCCTTGTGGCCAAGAGGGCCAATGGGATCCTGGGGTGCATTAAGAAAAACGTATCCAGCAGGTCTAGGGACGTTCTCCTCCTCTCCTCTGGTCTGGTGAGACCGCACCTGGAAAACTGTGTCCAGTTTTGGGCTCCCCAATTCAGGAGAGATAGGAACCTACTGGAGAGAGTCCAAGGGAGAGCTACGAGGATGATCAAGGGACTTGAACATCTTTCCTGTGAGGAGAGACTGAGAGAACTGGGGCTGTCTTGAAAAAAGAAGGTTGAGAGGGGATCTTATTAACGTATACAAATATCTGAGGAGTGAGTGTCAAGAGGAAGGGGACAATCTCTTTTCAGTGGTGCCTGCCCAGCAACAGAACAAGCAATAATAGATGTTAAGCTAGAACATACATAGAAAGGTCTGCCTCAACATGAGGAGGAGTCAGGAGGGCGGGGCCAGGCTCTTTTCAGTGACGTCCAATGACAGGACAAGGGGCAATGGGTACAAGCTGGAACACAGGAGGTTCCACAAAAATATTAGAAAAAACTTTTTCACTGTGAGGGTGACAGAGCACTGGCACAGGCTGCCCAGAGAGGTTGTGGAGTCTCTTTCTCTGGAGACATTCAAAACCCACCTGGATGCGTTCCTGTGTGACCTACTGTAGGTGATCCTGCTCTGGCAGGGGGGCTGGACTAGCTGATCTTTCGAGGTCCCTTCCAACCCCCTAACATTCTATGATTCCATGATTTAGTAGGGCATTTTTTTTCGATTTTACTATCAAATATAAATTGAAAAAAACAAAATCCCTGAAAGCCTATAAATTTGTCTCTTAGGGGATGGTTGCTTCTGAAAACAATTTTGTGTCTTACGTGTGTGATTTGTGATGTTTTCTAAGTCCATTTATGGAATGTACTAAATCGTTGTCTTTTAGTTGCTCAATAGTCAAGGTGTTTGCAATGTCCCATTTCTCACTATTACATTCTGCCTAACAAATGTCTCTTACCTTCTTACATAAATTGTTTTTACTGTATTTGGGCTTTTAAAATTATCTTGAATTCTTCTGGTCATTGAAGGCATCACGAGACCTTAACACTTTATCACAGTGTCTGAATATACTCTTCTTCAAAAGCAGGTAACTGGATTCAGCACATTCTCTTTTTTTGGAGATACTATCCCCAAATTCACAAGTTTGGAAAGTTACAATACTAAACAATAGAATCCTGAAGTCTTTGGAATTGAAACAAACATCTAGAAACCATTAAAAGCTCACAAGAAAACTGAAGTCTGTTCTCTTGAATTGTTCTTATGTTTCATATAGTTTTACGTGCACTGGTCACATGACAACCTTCATAGTTTCAGGGACAAAATCTTGATAAATTCCCTCTTCTTCTCCTCACCCCAAAAATAGTTGGGTCACTCAAATATTTAGTGTTCCTGGAACTAGACTTTGAGAAAAACATGTTCACCTGCAGGTAATTGTTGCCACTATTACTTCCAGTTTTAGCCTGGTTAGCAGATGCTTTCACTTGTGCTGGAGGTGTTTAACCCAGGTGCTACAGATACAGCTGTACTCGTGTTCTTTCTCTTCTGTATGGTGACCAAATGGTGTGTGAGACAGTGTGCCATCTCACCATTGTTCCCTCTAAACCAGTTGTTCTTTTTCTCTGTGGCTTTTATGAAGAAATATATCTTTGGTTTATTGATTCCTTTTTTATTTCAAAGTATTTTCCTTTGTGTTTCTTTTTCTGTCTTCTGTCTGTCATGACTCTCTCACTTAAGCCAAGCTACCTTAAACTCGGCTTTCAGTTGTGTCCTCAAGTTCCACATATATGATGAGGGCACTAGAAACATTCTATTTCTAGGGATTATAGTCTCAAATCTCACTGGAAGAGAAAGAAGAGGCTGCAGAATTATTTTTTTTCAAGTCCGTCAGTTCAGCCTGAGATCCAGGAAGTCTCAGGCACTTTGAGCCCCAAATAGTCTGCACGTCAAGATCAAAGTTTTTACTTATCCTGTCCTTTATGCAGCAGTTACTGTGATTTGGTCTGTTGTGCTTGCAGCCACCTTGCAATGGACTGCATGGCTTTAATCAGACATATTTTTTGTGGAGCTGCAATGTGCTGCTCATGGGCTCTGGATATGTCAAAGGAAGATCTTCAGTGGTTAAATGGTTGGGATTGCTTATCCAAACCACAACACAAAGACTTATGGGGCTGTTGCTGCCAAGGACACGTTTGCTGTCTCCTGTCAGTCACGTTCCTCCTGCATCCTGTCTTGGGAACTATCTAGGCAAACATAATTGCCTGTACTACCTTAGTAACTGGTAAGCAAGTCCTGAACTCTGCATCTGTATTTTTTTGATCTTTTCCTGTCTGCCCAACTGCTGTTCCTTCCCTTTCAAGAAGCCTTTTCATGAGAATCTCTTATAGTAGGGAGTTAATTAGCTTTCAGCTCGGAGAGCAGGAGAATCAATTCCTTCTCACTACTACTCAGTGTCAAAGAGAAACAGAGAATGGAGATGTTGGATTTACAAGGGCTGGATGCTTTAATTCTCCAATCCAAGGTCATTATGGTAGCCCTATGCAGTGTTATTTCACTGCAGCATTTAATTGTTTTTTTAGTGAGCCATGTTCATTATAAAATGCTTCCTCTGAGACTGTCAGTGTTGAATAAAGTCATGGCAGCACTTGGTACCCACCTTTTGAGACCATTTTTCTGCTTTACTTAGGTAAGAAGAAGATCCCTTGGTTTAGGTTTTCGACTCTCTAGAAGTGGCAGTTGTCCTTCTGGATATGAGAGGGAAGTTGCAGAAGTCACATCCCATATGTGTGCTTTCATTGGGGCAAGTCTGGATCTGTTCTTGGACAGAGCTTACTTATTCACTTTGTTTCAGACTCCCTGCTGACACCTACTTTGCTTGCCTGGTATGTCTGTGACACGTGGCCGCATGCACCCAAATTAGTTCTCAAACCAGACCCCTCCTTTTGTGTCTTGCCTCAGAAATGCGGTCTTTGGTTGTGTACCTACCAAGCTTACGTAGGATGTTGATGGTAAGGTCCTGCTCTGAGGTGAGGGTTTGGAGCAGGTGACCTCCACAATTCCTTTCCCTAGTAAATTATTCTGTGATTTTGTATTGAAGATACTCCAAAGCTTTATCGCAGAAACTCTGACATGTGGAGTCCTGCTCACATCTTTCCTGTATGACTTTTCAGTGAGCATCTGCTACACACGTTTGCATGTTGGATTAGAGTTTCTGAACTTGTTATGTGAGAGGTTTGGAGAAGGTTCACTGGTCTTTCAAGTGTGGCTATGCAAAGGCAATTTTAGGTGTACTTGGGTGATTAGCACCTTAAGTATATTGCTTGGTTGTATCTTGTGTTACTTTTCCATCTTTCCCAGGTTTTATTCAAAAGATGTTTGCAGTCACTAAGAAGTCCTCGAAGTTACAGAAAGCATAACTTTCCTAGACATGGCTTTCAAGGAGGAGGGTAGGTAGGCAGTCAAAAATTGCAAAATCAGCTGCATTAACAGAGCTCCATGGTGTTAAAGAAGGGGTTAGTTTCTGTGCATGTTAGCAGCTTTCTGAAATTTTGCTGAATATCCCTCTGTTCCTCTGTTATTCACTGACTGCTCCGTATATCTCTAATAGATGTAATGTATTTTTTAAATTAAAAGCTTCAACTGATTGTTGCACAAAGTCTCAGTGCTATTGTTTTCATTTGCTCTGTGCTGTGATAAAATATATTAAAATTATTTGTAGTTGATGCTGATTTTTCAGTTTCTCAGACTTAATTTGCAAATTTGGTGTTCTAAGTTTGTTTGTGAGCAATCAGGATTATTTAGAAATGATTTTAACATGGCTTGAATACTTTTAGGATATAAGCCCTTACTATTATTTTTTTTCAATTATGAAATAGGCAAACTGTCACTGTTTTAGTTTTTCATGAATATATAATAACACAATTATTTGTTTTTAAAACCAGACCCAGGCCATATCTTTTTAAGGGAGATCATAAATTTCCAACTCTCAAAGAGGATGGCCCAGTGGTTGTTCTTTATGCAGAAATGGGTACCAAAGACTTTGTCAAATTCCACAAGATCTTATCTGAGAAGGCGCAAAAGGGGGAAATTGTTTATGTTCTTCGGCATTATGTTCAGGTATGCAGTTCAAATTAAGATTGATTCTGTAAACTGTTAGTATTTAGTCTTTATTTTGCTTGCTTTTTGACAAAACACATTTTCTATGTTTATTTTTGCATTTGCCTAAATCATGTGCTATATATATTCTAATTTTAAAACTATCTAGGTGAAGCAATTCACCTGATAGAAACTTTGAAGCGGGAGAAGCATAATGTTATCCAATCCTGCATGCAAACACTTTTGCATCACTGATTGATCTCGAAATACCTCGTTTTTGGTTATATGTCTAGGTTTTGTACATTGTATGAAGTTCTTGGGTGAAATCTTGGTGCAGCAGACTGAATATATGAGTAATAAGCATTAGAAAAATGGGAAGTAAAATAGAAAATCAAACTGAAAAATAATTAATTAAAAATTTTATATATCCTCAGTATAATCTTATGTGTTCATTGTAGTACAGCAGCAGGGGGTATAACAGTCAAGATCATTGCCCAGTTTTTCAATGCTTCCATTCCAAAGCGGCAGTATTTTAAACGTATTTCTGAATGCTTTTCTTACTCTTCTCCCTGAAACAAAACAAGACAAATACCAGTAGATGGAACTATTTTGTCTCCAGTTTTGGTTATTGGAAGGCTGTTGTAATTTATATTCAAAGTATGCATCTTAAAAAGCATGGCTAATACAAGAGTAATCTGATGGAGTGAGAGGTTACTGTGATTTATGTAGACCGGGCATTTCAGGGAGATGAGATCCGTAGTTTGCAGATGGCTTTGAGTTGTTTGTTCACCGTAATGAAATAGAGAATTTGAGGAAACTGGTCTTAAATTCTAAGTTGTATAAGGTATAGTTTTTACTGAACTTTTACGTTCTTTCACGTACTTTTATTTGAGTTAAATAGTTAGAGTCTCCTTGCTCTGGTCAGCTTATGCGGCCTGGTCCCCTCCAAATACGTGTTGTCTTTCCTTTCTGCACTTTTTCTCTCTTCAGACCTCTCTTCCTTTTCTTCCTTCCTCACATCCTCCGTTCTTATTCTTTGGTTCCCACTGAGACGGATTCTCCCTCCATTTTTACATTAAATGCCAGAAGAGGGAGCATTGAGAGCAGAAGAGGTACAGTCTTTCTGCTGTCTTTTTTTTTTGCCAATATCAGCGAGGCTGCTTTCACTCTCCCTGCATTGAGATTTGCTTAGAAGACCAACAGAGAAAAACCCCAGCCCTGCCAGGTTTTCAGTTGTGCGCTGGAGGATTCTCAATGCAGAATGATTTTTTAAAATGGCAAGTTGAAGCCGAAAGGCTTCCAGGAAATTGCTGCTGTGCACGTGCAAGTTGCATTTTGTAAAGGGGATGTTCATACATTTTGGGCAAATTAGGGCACATTTTCAAAAATAAGCACACTCTGAGTAGTTAGGCTATTCCCTGAGAAACTTCCACTCCATGACTATAAATACTTATTGTTTGGTTTTGATAAGCAGCAACCAGGTTTTATCAATGGTAGTTTAATACATTTTCTTAGTCCTTCTTGCAGAAAATTAACTCTTATATCAAATTTTTTTAAACAATCGATCTGGTGCGGAAATAGAGAATTTCCTCCAAACATGCTGAAAGTCTGGCAAAATTACAAGGAAGTGAATGACAGATAAAATGTGAATTGTAAGGCATCAAGAATTATATACCAGCTCTGCCTGCTTTAGTCTTTCTACTAATATTATGTGAAGTGACTACAATTTTGCACAGCTTTTCTGTGGTCTGCAGGAGATAAAGGAAGTCCTTACTTTCTCTTACACACCTTCTCAAGGAACTGTATGCCTTGCATGCCTCTTGTCATTTGGTTGGTGTAGAATTTTGTACTTTGAATCATAAATTGAAAGATTAAGTTATGACTGCAGTAACAGTTTAAAGTTACAGTATTAGATATTGTTAAACTCCTCTAAATACAACTTTTAAATTAGATTTTTTTGTTCTGTTAAAATAATATCATCAAACAGAAACCAAGTTCCAGGAAAATGTATTTATCTGGATATGGTGTAGAACTTGCAATAAAGAGCACGGAATATAAAGCAGTAGATGACACACAGGTTAAAGGTATGTGGCTTTTTCTAATTTAGTTATAGTATCTTATTGGAGATACTATTGAAATGTGTTATAATCTACGGTTATAAAGTCAGTAATGTTTTGAAGGTTGTACTTAATTTCTTTTTTACGGAAGGAAGTCTCAGGCATTAGGAACGAAGATATCAAAACATATGCAAGCATTTGTGAACAGTTGTGCACCGTTCATTACCTGACCTCTAATCGCTGTTTTCTGTGGCTCTTCAAAATGTAACTTAGTCTTCTTTCTTTCGAGAAGACTAAGATGGTTTAAACTTCGTTCTTCAATTACTTCATATTTGTTTGCAACTCTATGCTCATTAATACAGTATCACACATTAGTGTTTCAGGGGTGAGGTGTTTTTTTTGTCTGAGTTTGTGTGGAAATACTTTTACAATCTTCTGTAGGAAAGATGTGCTGTGACGTAGGATTTAGTACCAGTATATGTTACATGTTGAAATGAGACACTAGCCACAGAAAGCAGTAGGTAGAGCATTTTGACACAATTACTTTGCATGGACACTTACAAGATATAATGAAAATTAGTGAACTTTCTGTGGCAAGACTAAGTTTTCATAGCTTTTGCATCATGTCAAACATAGTTCTTTATGGGAAAGAAACTCCTCTCTGACTTACATCAAACGCTAGCTAGAGATTCAAGCGCTTTAAAGTCTTCATGCTTTTCAGGCATAAATTTGGTAGAAGTTGACTGGTAAGAGTTATACCTTACCACTTAAACTAAGAAATAGCTCTTTTGAGAAGTGAAGTATTTAACCGTATCAATTTCATTTATATAAAAAATGCAACTATTGGATGAATTGTATTTAAAAAATTAATTTGAATGTTACTAATTTCTGTGAAGTGATTCATGCTGATACCAAAATGTGAATGCATAAGTGTAATTGGGATTATATCTGGGAATGACAGCTTTCTGATTGTATCTTTCTGTTAACCAGTTTATAACTCATACGAACATAGTACATCCATAAATTTCTTGGTTTGTATTGTCTACATGTGCTGTATGTTCAGGAGCAAATGAAACAAAAGAAGAGGAGGAGGAGGATGATGAGGAAACTGATGTCCAAGGATTTCTCTTTGGCAAATTAAAGTGAGTTGATATGAGTTATAATTAAACTTCTGCATTTTTTCTGGAACCTGAACCAACAATTAAAAAAAACTCCACAAAACACAGAAGTGAGATTTATGTGGAAATTACATTTTTTTTGGTACTGATGAAAGTTCTGATTAATTTTTTGTGTATGTCTTGTGGATGTAAAGATGCAACAATTGTTTGTTGTGTTAATTTCAATTTATTACATTTACTTTCCTAATTTTCTTAGAATGTGTACAGTAAACTGTTTTTAAAGTAAAAAAAAAAATTCGTCTGGACAACAGTCACAAAAATTTAAACCACCATCTTTCCATGTCGGTCATTTGTTGCTGCATCTCATATGGAATAATTAGAATCAAAATGCTGGTTTTCAAAATGGTAATAGTAGCACAACAAATCATAGAATTATACAATCATAGAATGGCCTAGGCTGGAAGGGACCTTAGAGATCATCTAATGCAACCTCCCTGTCATGGGCAGGGACGCCTCTCAACTAGATCAGGCTACTCAAGGCTCTGCCCAACTTGGCCTTGGACACCTCCAGGGAGGGGGCAGCCACAACATCTCTGGGCAATTTATTCCAAAGTCTTGACACACTCGTACAGAAGAATTTCTTTCTAAGATCCAATCTGAATCTATTCTCCTTCAACTTAAACCCATTTCCCCTTGTCGTATCGCTGGACACTCTTGTAAAAAGTCCCTCCCCAACCTTCCTGTAGGTTCCCTTCAGGTATTGGAAGGCAGCTGTTAGGTCCCCCCGAAGTCTTCTCTTTTCCAGACTGAACAATCCCAGCTTCCGCAGCCTGTCCTCGTAGCAGAGGTGCTCCAGCCCCTGGATCATCCTTGTGACCCTTCTCTGAACACGCTCCAACAGATCCACGTCCCTCTTATAGTGGGAACGCCAGAACTGGACGCAGTCCAAACCTGTGTGTTGTAGCTACATAAGGAGTTTTAAGATGAATACTCATTCATTTCTTAGAGTTAAGGAATGATATTTCGTGCAGGATAAGCTGATTATAGATATCATCTTATTTTGGAGTTCCTGGATTTGTGTTCTGTTCTAGCAAAAACTCTTTTATCTTCAAATTAAAATCTGTTAGATCAAATTGAATGCTACCCTGTTGGGGGCTCCTTCCAGTACTCCATTGATGGATTAATTTCATGGTTGCAGTCCTCAAAAGTGATCCCTTTTCCTGTAACAGATCCATGCAGTGAATCGTATATCCTGGGGTTTTTTTGATTCAAAAAGAAACTCAGGAGTGTGAGCTCTCTCTAGTGCCACTCTCTCTCTTATTATTTAAAGCTAAAAGTAAACTTGCTTGTAGATATTCTCACCAAGCCATAAGTCTTCTTAGAAATCAGGCTGCTAATGCTGTCAAAATTTTTGAGAGCCCATCCCGTTTCCACCTTTTAAAAAGTAAACACATTGAGATATAAGTGCATCCAGATCTGCAGACTCCCATGTTGTTTCACCTGTGTATTAGAGACTTTCCACAGCAGGTGATATCAAACACTTATGTCATATCTTTATCCAAGCTATTTTTGTTCTTGGATTGTGCTAGGTTTGTGCTAGGTTTAGCTATATTTAGTTTTTTGATGTTGCACTGTGACTAATTTGTGAATCTGTCAGATAATTACTCAGGCTTTTTGACATTGTTTCCAGACTGAATTTTTTTCTTCTCATTTTCATACTGGAGATGGAAGAGATGTTTCAGTCATCTCTAAATTGTCCCTCGGTTATAGTCATGTCACAGGTTATAGTTTGCTGTGAAATGCTTACGTATGTAAGCAGAAGACATAAAATCTTAGAAATAGAACTATTTGATTGTGTAAATTAACACTATTCAAACCCACACCATGATACATATCCAGAGAAGGGTCCCTTTTTTCAGCTGGCTTTATGTGCTTTTGATTATGTGCCTGCACTGGCTGTAACACAAGTGAAAAAGAGATATGAGGGACCAAGCATCGATAGTGGATCTTGGTTGTGGCTTCTGGATGGGTCTTACTTGTCAGTTTTTATTCACAGAAGAGTCAATAGTCTGAACAGGAGAAAAAAATAGTAAAGGTAAATTTGCAAAGAAGTCAGTAAAAACAGCAATCAGAGCTCAAAACTCATTAAGATTTTGCTGCTTCATAGAGGAATTTCTAAGAGTTCAAACTGTATTTGACATTTCTAGGTCTATATTACAAGTCTGAGGGTGGTTTTAGCAGGCTGAAGTCTCTATCCTCAAAACTTAGCCCAATTATGTTTTCAAAAAAAATTGCCAGGCTTTTGGGCACCGTGTTCTTCTTCAGGTCTCACTAGTGATTTGTGTGCTCAATGGTTTGATTTTATCAGTGATGGTAATTTATAAAAGATGCTCTCAACATTGTGTTGCTTGTTTCTTTTGTAGGTAATAGAACAAATGCTGTATACAGTTAGAGTAAATCTACAATACATATAAGCATGCATTATGCTTCAGTAAACTAATGATACAGTTACTTTTGTCATGTATTAATACTGTTTAATCTTTGAGTTCATTTATTCCATCAAAATCTATGTAACAGAGTTTGAGATAAGACTGCTACAAAACAACTGAAATCTTTCTTGTCGTTAACCGGCTTTTAGTCCTCAGAAATCACATCTTCTCACCCCAAATCCTTGCTTGTTACCCTAAAGACACAGCATTAGCTATGTACTGTATTAGCTATGTACTGTAGATAAATTAGACATTGATGGATACAATTGATTTTGCCTTTTTTAAAAAAAAATATGTTTCATTGTAGGCAGATGCACCCTGATCTGAAAAATAATCTGAAAGAGTTTAAAAAACATCTAATTGAAACTACTAACAACATGGAACCACTGAAGGTTTGGGAGCTACAGGGTATGTGCTGCATTTTTCAGTACTCTGATTTTCTTTTGTTATTTGTATGTACCATCATTATGATAAAAGCTTCTTTTAAAAAGAGACATATGGTTTCATAAAAAGGCAGTATTATATTCAGTATTTAAAAAGACTGCATTGGCTTCATGTCCTAGTATTATGTGCTAGAAATTAAAGGACCATTAAAGTAATTTTCTAAGATGGAAAATCATAACTAGCTTTACTGATTTTAAAGACAGAGGTTATATTGCCTGTTTTTCTGCTTGATGTCTTGTCTTGTATGTTAAGTTTACTTTCACATATTTTTTTGAGAGGTCAGGCAAAAACTATCATTTTGACACGACTACTGAGTCAGAACAACATACAGGTTAAGACAGTTTAATTTATATATTTTATAACTTTTGTCAGTGTAGTGGAGTTCACACTGATAAATATGTTTTAATATAACATCAAATGGGAGAACATGCTTTTAAAAGCCTTCCTGTGGAAGAGGAGAACAAAAAAGTAGAAGTTGGTTATTAAACAGCTTCTGTGCGCTTGATATGCAGGACTTTCTGTAGCTTGAGTGGAATTATAAAGCACTCTAAAATAGGCTCCTAAAATGTCATGACGCTAAATTCCAGGCAACTAAACTTTGCCTCTTAAGTTTTTCTGTTTTAGAGGACAACCTCATCAAACCCATTTGCCTTTATACTAGTACAAAGAAGGAGACTGAGCAATCATCAAAACATCAGTTTCCTTTGGGGACCCTGACTGTTACGGAGCTTGCTCACAGTATCCAGTCTGACGCGAGCTACTTGAGATAATTGTAGTTCACTCACAGTCTTTTATCAATGAACTCCCCTTGGGCTGCAGGATTTATCTTAGTCTAAAGTTTAAAAAAAAATTGAAAAACCTTGCATTCCAGTTATCCTGAGAAATCTACTGTGCAAATAAAAATTCTATTTTTTTTCTTACATCACTAACTACCACTCTGTAGATGTTCAAGCAGAAGCAACTGTGAAACTTTGATCCTCTATCTTCAAAAGCTAGTACAAGGTCTCTATTGAGTGGTGGTCTTTTATGTGGTGGTGTGGCTTTATAAATAAAAAATTCAATTGTTGCTGCTCCCCAGACAACCAGTTCATACGGTGTTGCAAGTAGCTGAGCACTGAGATGCTGTTTGCTTAGTGCCGGGAAGACTGATGCTGGCTTGAGCTAAGTACATTCAGGGCCGTTTCGGACAGCGAGTGTTCCTCTTGGTGTGGCACAGTTGTTTCAGTACTCTTACTCCTGACATGACTGGTTGCTTTTTCTAGTTCATTCTTAATGACTAATTATAGTGGCTGAGTTAATGCTTCAGCTGGTTTCTTTAATTAGCTTCCAAGTAAAAAAATAACTCAATTTAACCAAAACTCCTTCAGCTAGGGGGCACACTTCTATTTGTAAGTGACTCTAAAGAGTTGCCTTTCAAGAGCCTTTGTGTTTCAGGTAAGTAATTAGGTTTACTATTCATAGTGAAAAATGATGCACAGAACACTGGTTCCTTTCGTAACTCGTTCTTTTATCTGTGTGACCAGCCTCTTGATTTCTAGTGCTCATTAGATTTCAAAGCATACTCGGAGATCGCCTTTAAGCTCGAGATAGTCTTTTCCCCAAGGTGCCCTAGGCTGCTCTCTGAGCTGTGTTAGGGTGCCACAAGGGGAGGTCAGGAAGTGACAGCCCCTGACCAGAGATAACCAAGAAGGTAAAAAGACATGTCAGTTTGCCTCAGTGGGATTTGAATATTCATACTCTAGCTGTTCAGCGTAAAATAGAAATTATTAACAATTTATGAAGAATTTTAAGTGTATGCCCTAAGGGCAAAACAGGTAAGGTGTCACTGTCGGTACAATAGCAGCAGTTGGATACTGCTTCACCTGATCACAGCTTATGTGGCTGTTGAAAGGGATCTGACATGTTCTTTTTGGAAACAGTGATCTCTCTATACTTTTTGTTGAAAGTATTAAGAAATACCAAGATAATATTCCACCTTCCAGGCACACATTTTTTTTCCAGCGAAGGTGTACCTTATTAGGCTAAACTAGGAATGTCTGTCTGCTATTTACTTTTCCCCAGCTTTTTTTTTTTTTTTAATTCCTAATTGCTTCAGAAAGATAGTGCAAAGTTCTGCTAGGCAGCATCGTCTATGACTTCATGCCTGGCAGTTTTTACTATATGTGACATCGCCTTTCCACAAACTGAATAAGCCAAGGCCTTAAGTTTCTGCTCAAACTCTCAAAGGAGAGTTTATGGTTTATGGAAGATGGGGCAGGCAAATTATGAGGATTACAAACAA